TATAAATATAATTTTATAAATTATATACATAAAATGTATGTATTTTTTTCCCAGAGGAGAAGGCACCATCTAGTGGCCAGTTATAGGATAAAAACTACAGCCATGCACTTGGACTTTTCGTTTTTTAGCATTTACTTTAGACCCGTCTAAAACAAGTGTATAGAAACAAAAAGCAAACAAACAACAGTAAAAGAGACTTTCTTGCTGAAAAATACCCATAATTGCAATTTATATTATGTACTGATGACACAGTCATAAGCAAAGCCCCTAATTAATATTTTGTTGATATGTATTTTTAAAAAGTGAAAATGGTAACTTGTTTGCAAGCTAGGTGCTACTTAGTTACATCAAAGGAAATGAAAGAAAGCATTGGATGTTAAGGATTATGCTAGGTGTGCTTTTATTTACCTATGTCATCTTATTTGATAAAGTTATTTTCTACATATAGCCAATGACTTTGTAGCACTTTATTTTATGTATTTCTTAGAGATATTAGTTATATCCCATCTTTTTTAATCAGGTAGAAGAAAATTAAACAGAGAGTAAAACTAATATTTGTGACTATCGTGATTGTTCTATAAAGAATGTATATAGGCTTATATAATTAATAAAATATAATTAATAATTATATCAGACATCAAATTGTTTACTATATGTTCACTATGTGTGAACATTTTAATCTGTTTATTACAGTATATATTACAAGACTATATATTCAGAAGTTTTGCAGACTTGCACAAAAAACAAAACAAAGTAGTAGAATTCTCATTTTATATAGGCTGCCTTCTAATGCATTATTCAATATTTTATTACTATGAATGATGTCATAAATCAGCCTCTAACATACAAATGAAAAATCTGTGTCTTGGATTTCTTGCCAAATCTTATGTTTCTGAAGGTATTTGACTTTCATTCATTGGAGATTGTTTTTTGTTTTTGAGACAGAGTCTCACTCTGTTGCCCAAGCTGGAGTGCAGTAGTATAATGTCAGTTCACTGCAACCTCCACCTCCTGGATTCAAGTGATTCTTGTGCCTCAGCCACTCAAATAGCTGGGATTACAGGCATGCACCACCATGCTCAGCTAATTTTTATACTTTAGTAGAGATGGGGTTTTGCCATATTGGCCAGGCTGGTCTTGACCTCCTGGCCTCAAGTGATCTGCCTGTCTCGGCCTCCCAAAGTGCTGGGATTACAGGTGTGAGCCACTATTCTTAATGCAACTGGAATAGAAAGCTTTGGACGTAGATGGCTTGATTTGTGTTAGAAATCTTTGCACATGTCTTTTTACGAAAGTTGGCATTATTTGTTGCAAGTAATATTGTAGTGCTTTCATTACACAAATTAATTTAAAAAATGGGTTTCAACCTGTAAATTTCTTAATGTTCATCCTTCCAAACAGATCATCGATAACTGGAAGTATCATAAAACCAAAGTGGCTTCATATTGGCTCATAAAATTGGACTCTGTAAAACAACGAAAAGTGAGTAATGCTCAAAAACAGTTTTTTCCTCTTGGATTATGTATTAAGCTAGGATCATTAAGCCAAATTCATAGACAGACTTTATATTTGCTCATTTGTTTACTCATTTCTTCAACAAATACTTATTAAGTATCTATTATGGGTCAGGCACTCTTCTAGGTTCTGAGGATACAAAAGTGAATTGTAAAAAATCCATGCTTTCATAGAACTTACATTCTAGTTAAGATGTCTGATAATAAATAAATATGTAATAGAATGTAAGGTAGTACAGTCAGCCTTCTATGTCTGTGGCTTTCGCATCCATGGATGCAACCAACCAGGGATTGAACATGTTTGGAAAAAAAAGGATGGCTGTGTCTGTACTGAAGATGTACAGACCTTTTTTCTTTTGTCATTATTCCTAAACAATACAACAGTATAACAACTATTTACATAACATTTACATTGTATTAGATATTATAAGTAATTATAAGTAATCTAGAGATGATTTAAAATATACAGGAGGATGTGCATAGGTTATATGCAAATATTCCACCATTTTATATCATGTACTTGAGCATCCATGTATTTTGCTGTCTGGGGGTTGGGGGTCCTGAAGCCAATCCTCACAGGTGCAGAGGGATGACTGTACTAAGTACTATGAAGAAAAAGAAATTGACATAAAAAATAGAAGGTAGTATTTGAGCAGAGACTTAAATGAAATGAGAATCATGCTATACAGATCTCTGCAGAGACAATGTTTCAGGCAGAGGGAAGAACAAATATAGAGATGCTGAGGTAGAAATTAGTTTGACGGGTATATGAAGCAGAGCAAGGCACCATTTTATTTATATATTCATAAGATAGTCTGTTTTAGCTGGAAAAGAGTGAGTGTGGGGTCTTGGTAAGAGATAAGGTTGGACAGATAGGGAGGACCTAGGTCACAACTTTATAGGCTATGGAAAGATACTGGGTTTTATTCCAGTTGATGAGGAACCACTGGAAAATTTGAGTAGAGAAGATACATAGCCTGTTTGAATTTAAGAGAATCACGAGAACTACTTGTGGAGAATAGAACTGGAGGAGCGGGAATTTGGCAGAATAGAAGTAGGGACCAGCTAGAAGGTTGTTAGGGTAACTGAGGCAAGAGCTAATGGGTGCTTAGCTAGGGTGGTAACTGAATGGATGGATGCTGGAGGAAGAGGGGGAGGGTTTTGCTGTTTCTGTTGTTTCATTTTATTTTGACCTTGTTGATGTTGATATATTGATGGACATCCAAGTGAAAATGTTGAGTGTATAGTTGTATAAGAGTTTTGAGTTTAGGGCTAAGATTGTGTATGGTGAACAAAAATTTAGGAGTCTCTAAGATATTTAAGGTGTCAGCTAGATGAAACTACCTCGAGTTTCAAGGACTAAGGCCTGGGCCACTCCTACATGTAGAAATCAGAGAGATGGGGAGAATCTACCGAAGAGGACTGAGAAGGAACAGCAAGTAAGATGTGAAGAAACCATGAGAACTGGGTGTCCTTGAAGTCAAGTAAAGAAATTATTTTAAGGACAGAGTAATCAATTGTGTCACGTGTTGCTGACAGAGGTTGTAAGCTGAGCATTGAGAACTGACTGTAATTTTTGGCAATGTGGGTGTTAGTGATGACCCTAATCATAAATTTAGCGGGGTGGTGGGGAGTAAAACTTGGAATATGTAGAAGAAGAAGAAAAGTGGAGAGCAAAACACCACAGTTACTACAGGCACTTTTTCAAGGAATTTTGCTATAGAGGGCAATGGGAAATGTGGTGGTGGTAGATGGAGAGGAATGTGGGCCAACAAGGATTTTTTTTTTGTTTTTTTTTTTTAAGATGAATGTATTTTTAGTTTGTATGATGATGAGAACGATTTAGAAGAGAGGAATGGCACAGAAAAGAGAGGTGATAAAAAGTTCTTGAGTAAGTAAGCTGTGAGAGGGGGAGGATTTTCCTAATCAAGAGCATTTATTCTAACAGGAGGGAAGGCAGGTGCATGGGAATGTGGTGGGAAGATGGGAAAGTTTTCTTCTGGTGGGGAGGGCTTCTGGAGATTTGGGGAGAGAGTATAAGGTACATAATAGCTGTCTTGGAGAGTGGAAGAGTGGAGTGGCCAGCACGGTGAAGGGCCCATCAACTGCACTGTAATACTGTTTTCTGGGAGATAGGCTATTTTAGTAGCAGAGTGAAGTTGTTGAATTCCTTCAATAATACAAACTATCATTTGCCCTTTCTCAGAATTATCATGAATAAGCTGAAACTTGATGCTGATTACATGATGACTCTTAAATTATATACTTTTATCTGAGTAAGCTGAACTCACTGTTGCACATTATCTCATTCAACAAATACTTGCTTAGTGTCCTGCCATGTGCCACATAGAGTACACTGTTGAGGAGGGTATAGTAAAGCTGGTGACAGAAGCAGATTGCAAAACACATGGGAAGCCCTGAATATGTTTTCAGGTTGCTGACTTTGGTTTCCATTAGTGGAGATACGGACTTTTTATTCGAATTGGAACCCTGAATTTCCTTAAGTCCGTAAAATTTTTGTAATCTAGAAGAGAGAGAAGTGTGGGTAAGTTGCTAATTTAAAAAAATAGTATGATATTAATAATATAGGATAAATGTGGCATTTCAAACCAATAGAGAAAAGATGGTTTTTCCACTCAGTGGTACAGAAGCAACTATCTATTTGTAAGAAAATTAAGTTGGAGCCTTAATTCTCACCATATAAAAACAAACTTCATATAATTGCAGTTTTCTATGTAAAAAAGAAAATATTAAAGATTTGGAAGAAAATACAGAAGGATAAGTTTATAATCTTAGAGTGGGAAAACATCTTAAGAAAATACCTAAAACCTAGAAGGCTTAAATTAAAATATCAACAGATTTGATTACATAAAATCTTATGAAAGGTAAAAAATATCTTAAAAGGCAGAAGTTGTGAGGGCAATTGGGTGGGGGATAGAGGAGGAGTTTGAGGAGGACAGATAAGTGTAGCACATAAAATGAAAAGTAACACTAGTGAACCAATACCTTCTGCAAATCAATCAGCAAAAGAAACTGGCCTATAAGTATTGACACATAAAATGGCAAAGCATATAAAAAGACCATGAAAAGACAACGTATGGATTTCACATAGCCATTTAACACGTAAATAGATCCTTGACCTTACTAATGAAGAAGAAAAAGCAAGTAAAAAACATCATATGGGCAAAAATTAATAAGACGCATAATATCCAGTGATGGAAATAGTATGAGTAAAAGGGCCTTTGCTATACTATTAGAGAGAGAGAGAGTACATTGGTACAAGTCTTTAGAAAAATAATTTGTAATATCTATTAAAGTGACATGTTCATAATCTTTATAAGTCAGCAAAACCACTTCCAGCATTCCATCCTACAGAATAATTGCCTGAATGTATAAAAGATTTTTTTGTACATGAGCATTCATCACAGTGATAAGACATCTCCATGGAAAGGGCTTGTGAAGTAACGGTGTTGTGCGTTTGTTTTGTGTTGAGGTAGGAATAAGGGAAAGAGGCAGAGAGTGTCTCTCCCTGACCTCAGGACCTTGCTTCGGCTGTCCTTGCTAAGTAGAATCCCTTCTTTACAATCTCACACACCACATATTTTGAAGATCCAGCTCCATCTCCTTCACAAAGCATCTGGAGTCCCCTACAACCAGGTATCTTTCCCTACTTCAATCTTCATGGCACTTTGTATTCAGTTAACTTATGATCTCCCTTGAGAAATTTATGGATAATTTTTTCATACCTCTAAAAAGCCAGAGGACGGGTCTCATTTTGTAGTTACCTTCAGGGGGCTTTCTGTCAATTTTTGTTAAGTTGATTCCATTCTAGACTTTTAATTCTAGACTCAATAGCAAGGTAGCTGCTTCTTTCCGTGGCCATCTTTCCTTACTAGTTAGTGATATGTTTATTTGAACAGGAATAATAAGACAGTGCTATTCTGTTTTATACATGTGATGTGAGAAGGCCTGATAAACATTGATGGGATGATTAAATGATATATGTGAATAATAATATTTGTGAATTGGAAGAAACAATTTCAATAGGGTTGTTATGCTCAATTGACTTTCTACATTTAGAGGAAAAATAAATGCTTGTTTATAAATTTACTACTGAGTACATATACCAGTGTATCCACTTCTTTGATACTGATTTACTCTAAGAATATAGGAGTGAACTATTTTTATGTAATCTTTTCTTCCAGTTCTCAGAGGTACAAACACCTTTAAGTATTAATCATACACTGTTATGTGGAGGGAGTGGAAGCACTAATGTGAGGGGAGGAGCTTTATTACCATTTTTATACCCTGCTAGTCTTTTTTTTTTTTTTTGAGCTTCTTTGTGGCTTCTTCCTTTGGTATAAATCAAAGGTATTGGGTTTCCCTTGTGCTTGCAGAAAGTAACGATGTATTCTGTCTTCAGTAAAAGCTTGTTAAAGTCCCACAGTTTGCACTACCCAAACGTTTACTGTCATTCTTCTACATAGATAATTTAATAGACAATTATATTTTTGGCAGAAAAATTCGTATCTTGAATTTTGGCTCTTAAAAGAACAGAAAGGGCTGATCTTAACTAGAGCAAGTTTATCTTGCAAAGATGCCCAATTTTATGGAGCCCTGAAAGTCGCTGAGGAATGCTACTCCCAGGCTGTGAAAACAAGTGGAAGCCTAGGATTTAAACAGGTGCAACTTGTTTGTAGCAATTTTTCTTGCTATTCTCATGATTATTGGGGCTCCTTTTCTTCCTTCAACAATTTTATTCTTTAAGAGGCTTTCCCAAAACAGGCTCAAATTTCTCAGATATGTAGTGAAAGGTGAGGCACGTCTGGGAAAATAAGCAGAGGACAACTTTCAGCAGCTTTCATTCTGTGATGACATTCTTCCCCTTATTCAGGTAATTTAAGACCCCTTACCCATGAGTAACTATTTTAATATAAGGAGCTTTATATTAAAACTTTACTATAACGT